ATGCATTATGTAAAGGTACAATTCCCAATGAGAAATGTAATTGTGTTGTATACCTACAATGTACCAATAAAAGAATTTAATACAAAAAAAAAGAGTGCTCTCCTTATGGTCCTCATCAACGTAAGATCTCATCAACATAGGATCACGACTGCCCCCTAATTCACCTATACTCCCTCCAACTATTGTGTGTACCAAACAAATAATGGCTAGTTTGGAGTGTCTTTGTCTTTGGCCACTCTAAGGCACTGACCTCCCAGCCCTCCAAGTTCTTTGAAATTATGCAAGACTCCATTGTCTTTCTTTAGCCTCCTTTCTAGGCAGAGGATTGATTGCCCTCCCATAGTCCACCTTTCAAATTTTCTAATTTAGTGTATCTGTTTGTATCAGAGTATAATATAGAAAAGATATAGAACCACCCTAAGAAAGCAATTTCTTCTGTATAAAAGTGACAAGAAAATTTTTTGCATTCAAAACCATAATATTCATCCAGGAAAGAGAGGTTGTAAAATAACTTTGACAATTGCAAATGGAAGTTACTGAATTTCCAGGCTTCTTGTATCTTCTGCAACGTATGGTCAGGAAATCAAGAAGCTAAACGTAAAGCAAAAGTTCATGGTAAGCCAGGCACCATTCTAAACCCATGATTCATTTTAATTTCCATAAGCCTCATAAAAACACTGACATAGGACCTCCAAATGATATAGGGGAAATAACTCCCAACCTAATAGGTGTCCGATATGCCAAGTTCGCATTCCCAAAATCGAAGAATGAATTCTGAGGAACAGTGGAGGTTCAGAGTAGGAAAATTTTATTGAAAGTATAGCTCCTGAGACAGGAGTGTACGCAGAAAATCCGTTGCCCCACTTTACAGAGCAAAATCATGAGTGCAAAGGCATGAGGTGAGTACAATGTAGGACAAAACTACGATCAATAAGATTACAAGTATAGCCACTGAAGTAATAATATTGATCCAATGGGGAAGCAAGTCATGTAGCAAGTGTACATGAAAAGAACAAGGACCTTTTTTGGAAGAGATGACTCAGGAGATCCCGGTCATCCACCTGGGTGAGTGATCCCTATCTAGACTTTATTGGACCAGGTGATACTGATTATAGTATATTGTTTATCCCCCGAGGACATGTGTCAGCCTAGTCATTCCATCTTTATCTGAGGCCTGGTCTTCAACAAATGCATCTCCAGTTGTAGTATGTTCCTTACCTTCTACACTGCCTCCTTAGAGGGCCCAGCCCTGTCTGCCTATAATATTTCTACCTAACTTAGTTGTCTATAATATTACCATCCTCATTTATGATTTTGAAAAAAGACAGAAATTTTCAGTTGTTTCACAAGTTCAGAGTTGTAAGAATGGTAATTTAGGAGTAAGGTAAATGGAAGACAAAGCATTCAAAACTAGCTGGCATTATTTCTCTTTCCACTTCCTTGCTTTCCAATTCCCTTTAACCTCTGTCCCCGACCCCTCACATTTCTTAGTACCTCTTCAAATATCTGTGTCTTTTTAAGCAGGACTGTTATAGGTCCTTGTTTACCTCGAGTATACGCTGCTCCTGATCCGTAGTAAGTACTAAGTAGCTACGTTTATTGAAGATCACCAGGAAGGTAGCAGCTGAACAGGGGAAAGGGAAAAGGGCAAAAGGGGGGCTGGTTTAACTCAGGCTTTTAGAATGTAAAGGCCAGACACCTCAGACTTTTTGGTGCCTCTTACTGAATCTCTAAATGGCACCAGTGCTCCCACCAGGGTGATTTCTTAGGCTTTTGTTATTTTATTTTGTTCCCCTTTTAAGAAAATGGAAGCATAGGTAACCATTAAGGTGGTGTTCACAGTTGAATGTAGGGAAAGGAGTGACTCCTTCAGTTCCTGTTTCTAGGGGTACTAGAAGAATGAGTAGAAAAACAGGAAATCAAAAGAGTAAGACATCACTTCTTTTCAGCACATGCAGCTACATTTGGAATGTGGGACTGCATAATCTTTGTTCCTTTCCTCCAGCCCCATTGTGATTAAATGTGAGTTAATGGATAAAGATGCTTGTTAGCTTTGGGACACTAGATAAAAATCTGTAACAGACCTAAAGTCCCAAAGTAAACTACTCAACTCCTTGTTTGCCC